TCGAGCCCTCGAATATTCCGATCGGTTTCGATGGTTCGAAAAACTGTAGAGGGTTGGAAATTTAAGTTTCGATGGGCTAGTCATTTCGAGGGATTGGAATTCCGATGGGGCGCGTCCCCTCGAAAAAAATTTCGATCCCCCGGGTAAGGATATTCGGAAACTTACGATCCCTCGCCGTACCTATCGAATGAGTTATTTTATCTGCTTGGGGAAGGACGGACATGTCGTTCTTACGATCCTAGACTTTCAGTCAAGGGAATATCGGACGCGTATAGGCGTTTTCAACCTTTTTGCATCCCGGACTTTTTGGGATTTCATCCGATCAAAATAAACTTCACAAAGTTGGTGCCAGCAGATAAAATGTGTGAAATGTAATTTCTGACATTTCTGAAAGCAGAATCCAATTCTCCAGATGCCTCCTGTGCGGTGAGAAATGCCAACTATCAAAAATGAGCAATTTTCTCGCTAATTAACGCATTGAAGATCACATCGTATGAAGTTGGTACCAGCAGATGAAATGTGGGAAATTTAATTTCTGACATTTTTGGCAGCGGAGTCTAATTTTTCAGATGCTGCGCCTGTCGTTCGCCTGAGAGTTTTGCTGTTCTTTAATATCTTGGATAGAATCTCATGATAATGCGTTTGGGTTGGTAAGATGTAAATATTCAGACTTCGAGTGAAATTTGTTTTTGACTTTATTATACATATTCTGATTTTTTATTGGTATATAATCTTTATCATGTATAACATCACTGGTTGTAATTGATAATGAAGATTGGGGACGATCTTTTATTTGTGGTAAAACTGATTGATGTGATCCAGCAAATGTCAGCAGTGGCAGAATTCCTACATTTCAGACATTCTATAGAATTCTACACTTTGTCTATGAATTCTACGACAACTATTTCACGCGTAAAACCTGATATGACCGAGTTGTTCTCAAAACAGAAATCTAGGAAATGTATAGAATTCTCTAGAATTCTACCTTAGTACAGATATACAATATATTGACCAAGTTTCAATCAAGCGGAAATGTATAGAATTCTCTAGAATTCTACCTTAGTACAGATATACAATATATTGACCAAGTTTCAATCAAGCGGAAATGTATAGAATTCTATAGAATTCTACACGGGGGGAGGGGGAGGGCCTGGCATACAGAGCATGATAGTGAGTCACTAATCAACTATGTCTGTACTAACGTAGAATTCTATAGAATTCTGTACATTTCTGCTTGACTGAAACTTGGTCAGTATATTGTATATCTGTACTAAGATAGAATTCTATACATTTCCGCTTGACTCAAACATGGTCGATAAAAAGTATATCAATGCTAACGTAGAATTCTGTAGAATTCTATGCGTTTCCGCGTGTATCAAACTTGGTCAGTAATAAATGTATCCCTACTAACGTAGAATTCCATAGAATTCTGTAGAATAGTTGAATTACAGGAACTCTGACGTCCCTCGCAAATGTTTGTAGTGATAACGGTGAATTATTAACGTTATTTCTTGATCATGCGGCTGGTTGAAGTTGTTCTTGTTTTTTATTCATTTTTGTTGAGATAAACTAGTTCATCAATGATTTTATTTATCTTTTTCATAAAAATAATACAGTTGGCTATAATAATACAATGTTGACTAGTGACGGTTATCCTCTTTAAGGAGGTTATGAGATTCGTATAGGAACTTATCAGGATCCTATAAACTTTCTATAGTACACCGTAAGATCGTTTGACTTACGACTGAAAACCATGAAGAAGGAAAATAACAACTGTTTTACACCAGTAGTTCTCGATGTTCTATGTGTGCGGTTCGATTATCAGAAAGTATTCGAAACTTTGACGAACGGTTCACAGTTGCGTAAAGTCATAACATGTGCTTTGGTAAATCCGCTCGACTTGCTCTTTAAACCCCTAACGTCCTCGGCTATGAAGAAAAACAAGCTAAAAGTATGGCAGATAAAGCTGCCCAAAAAAACTCGGTCTGCAAAAATCTTTGCAGAATCTGTAAAGATTCTGCAATCTGCAGTTTTTCTGCAATGCAGATGTGCCAAGATTTGGCCAAAGATCTGATGCAGATCTGCAATAAAATCT